CGGCTCGGCTGTTGGGCGGCTCGGCGGCAGTGCGGCTCGGCTCCCGGGCGGCTCGGCGGCAGGGCGGCTCGGCTCCCGGGCGGCTCGGCGGCAGGGCGGCTCGGCTCCCGGGCGGCTTGGCGGCAGGGCGGCTCGGCTCCCGGCGGTTCTGCTGCTAGGCGGCTCCCGCAGGTAGGGCGGCGGTAGGGCCGCAGGTAGGGCGGCGGGCGGGCCGCAGGTAGGGCGGCGGGCGGGCCGCAGGTAGGGCGGCGGGCGGGCCGCAGGTAGGGTGGCGGGCGGGCCGCGACGTGAGGGCGGCGGGGCCGCTGTAGTGGGGCGGCGGGGCCGCTTAGCAGTGGGCGGCGGGGCCGCGTGAGCAGGGCGGCGGGGCCGCGTGAGCAGGGCGGCGGGGCCGCGAAGACGGGCGGCGGGGCCGCAGTGAGTGGCGGCGGGGCCGCAGCGAGAGATGGCGGCGGGGCCGCGAAGACGGGCGGCGGGGCCGCAACGAGAGAGGCGGCGGGGCCGCAGAAAAGGGCGGCGACGGGCCGTAGGCGGCGCGAAGCCGCAGGTAAGGGCGGCGACGGGCCGGGGCGGCGCGAAGCCACGGGAAGGGCGGCGACGGGCCTGGGCGGCGCGAAGCCGCAGGTAGGGGCGGCGCGAAGCCGCCGGTGAGAGCGGCGCAAAGCCGCGGGTAAGGGCGGCGACGGGCCGGGAAAAGGGCGGCGCGCCGCAGCCGCTAGGGCGGCTCGACGCGACCGTAAGGGCGGCGCGACGGGCCGCTAGGTGCGACTCGACGGGCCGCTAAAAAAAAGGCAGGCGCGACTCGAGGCGCGCTTCGGTGGGCCCAAGGAACAGTCCCTAGGAGGGGACCTGCTCTGATTCCATGTGAGAATGAGAACGAGAATGAATGAACTATGAAATGAAGTGAGTACAAATAGGAAACCCTAATTGGGTTGTACCCCCTATGGGATACCCCACTATAGCCTACACAACAGCATAAGCTATATAATGTTCTGACAGTGAGTCTGCTGCCGCTCCAGGTGCTAGTGAGTCTGCTGCAGCTCTAGGTGCCCGTGCGTCTACCGACGCTCTAGGTGCTAGTGCGTGTACTACCACAGGGTCCTGCCTCAGATGAGGTCTTGCACACTTTCACGCTTGACTCAGGCACGTCACGTTGCTTCTTTCGTGATTGCACCACAGTCACACCACTCACAGCACCTGTCCCAGTCTCACTGGCTGACCCCTCTGGGGGCCCAGTGGTTGCGAGAGCCTCCACGGTCCTCCCTTGTCCAACAGTCCCCTCTGGCTCTTTGTCAGGTCTCCACCTCCCCACGTTCTCGACGAACTTGGTGAGCAACGCTGCCATTCAGAATGCCTGGGTTGATACCTTTATTCCTGAAGGGCAGCGTGTGGCGATCTGTACGTGCTCCCGGACTGGCCGTCACCTGGCTACGTTCACTCGACAGCCTGGGTCTAGTCTGTACACACTGACCACTGCGTCTGCACAGGTGGCTGAGTCAGGTCAGGTAGCTGCGTCGAGTCGAGCGTCTGCGTCAGGGCAGTTAGCTGCGTCTTGCTCGTGCAGAGTACTCACGCACGAGACTCAGCGCTGGCACCACCGTCTTGGTCACCCCTCCCTGCAGCGTCTGCGCGGCATGCACTCCCGGCTCCTGGTCTCTGGCCTCCCTGAGACCCTGCCCCCCCTCCCGCGCTCACTTGCGCCGCTGTGCCTTCCTTGCGTCGAGGGGCGGCAGCGCGCCGCTCCTCACTCCTCCGAGTTTCCTCCGACCACTGCTCCTCTGCAGACTCTCCACCTGGACGTGTGGGGCCCGGCCCCCGTCGGTGGGACGGACCAGGAGCGCTACTTCCTGCTGGTTGTTGACGACTACACACGCTACACCACAGTCTTCCCCTTGCGGCTATAACATTTGACACACCCCCATAGCCTAAGTGGGGTATGCCAAGCAACAAGAAATGCAACCTAAGGTCACAAGACCAGTCACAAGCAAGAGAGAAAATAAAGCTCAGGGTGGATCACAACGTCACCACACAATCTGAGCACAAACAAGGGGCCACAAGGCTAGTTCAAGAGTGTACAAGCTAATATATATAGTACACACAAACAAGAGGCAAGAACTCACTACTGCAGTCTACTAGACCCAGTCTCAACGAGGCCTAACTTAGGCCCTCAGATTCGTTTTGTGCCACACTTTCTCATCAGTGTTGGTCCATAAAAAAAAACTTTCTGTCAGGGTCGTTACAAAAATAAACCCTGAAAAATCAGTGTTTGTCACATAAGATAAAACTTTCTTATCAGGGTTGGTACTTTTTTAACCCTGATGTAACCAGCCTTCATCATACCGGTAATGTGACGGGAACGGGGAGAGGGAGACAGTGGTGGTGCAGTAATGGTGGTCTAGGTGAGGCAATCGCGTGGTGCAGCAAAGTAAAGGTCTCTGTTTTGTCACGTTCAAACATACAGTATGAGACAAAATCAGACAAGCGCTTGCAAGCAACAGTCGGGAATGTTCCTCAACAACCTTTCGGGAGCGTTGCGCAGTGCCACGTCACCCCACGCTTTCTGTCTCGCACTTCGCCAATCAACAAAACGTGAAATGAAGAGTAAGTTTGAACCAAACAAATGGTGTCTGAGGCGAGTCTGTCAAGATGTAGATAAGGGGGGTGCAGGAAAGAGCCCTAAGATGCCGTTTTACGTGATTGACGGTGACGGCGAAAATTTTGGGCGAAATGTTTGCCAGATTCATTGAATCTAGGCAATTTCGCTAATAGGGATGACCCCGCTACTGTATGATTCGAATCAGGGTCCCCTAGCAAAAGTAGGCTGACATTTCAGGCCTGGTAGCTGAAAAAACAGTGTAGGCATAAAAAAAAAACTTTCTCATCAGGGTTGGGACCTAAAAACACCCTGAAAATCAGGGTTCAAAGGCAAAATCATGGTAAAATTCCTGCAATCCGAGGGCCTAGCCTAACTGCAGACAAAACCGGCGGTGGTCACAAGACTGAAGAGCCTTGGTGAAGATGTCTGCAGTGTTGGCCTCGGAGGCCACGAAGTCCAGACGAGGCTGTCCGCGTCTTTGCAACTCTTGAAGGAGGAAGTACCTGACGACGATGTGCTTCACTCTGCTCTCCAGTCGAGGCTCACGACACAGGAGAATCATCGCCTTGTTGTCAGCAAACAAGGTCGGTGCAGAGCTCGGCCGCTCACCAAGGTCAGTGAGCAAGAAGGTCAACCAGCGTAGTTCCTGTGCAGCAAGGGCTCCAGCGTAGATCTCGGCCTCTGCGGTAGAAGTCGCAACAGACGAAGACCGAGTAGACCTCCACGAAACAGCTCCAGAGCCCAGGCTGAAACAGTAACCCTGCGTAGACCTCTGAGTCTCAACGTTGTCGGCGTACGAGGAGTCGCAGTGACCGGTGAGTACAACTGGCTGTGTCCCTCCAAGTACAAGCCCCATGTCTGATGTCGCACCGAGGTACTCCGCCACCCTCTTAGCCGGCGTCCAGTGAACAGGACGGTGTCTCCCAGTCGCAACAAAGCGAGAAAGGATGCTAAGAGGGAAGGCGAGGTCCGGGCGAGTGCACGTCATCAGGTACATGAGGTAGCCCACCAGCTCTGCGTAGGGACCACTGGGCTCGAACGGCTCGTCAGGAAAAGGGCCAGTGAGTCTGTGGTCTACAACAAGAGGGGTGGGTGTAGGAGAAGAGTGCTGAAGCCCGAACCGCTGAAGGACCTGCTGCACCATGTGTGACTGAGTCAGAGTGATGGTGCGAGCGGCTCTGTCCCTGGAGATCTGCAGGAAAAGGTAACGGCGCAGTTCCCCAAGGTCAGTGCAGGTGTGTCTCTTCTGCAGTTCGGACTTCACCTCCGCCAGTGCAACTGTGTCGGCTGTGGCAAAAACCAAGTCCTCAACGTAGACCAGCACGAAGAAAGGTGTGCACCCACGACAAACAAACAGCGACGGGTCTGCGGAAGACGGCTCAAACCCGAGGTCAGACAGAGTAGAGCGGAGAGTGTCGTGTCACTCACTGGGTGCCCGGCGGAGACCGTAGACCGGTCGTCTAAGGCTCCACTGGGTCCCAGGCGGGAAGGTGCCAGTGAAGCCCGGAGGACGACGCAGCCAGATCTCCTCGTGTAGGCTGCCCTAGAGGAAGGCAGTGGAGAAGTCAAGAGAGTGTAGCTCGTAGTCTCTCTGCGCTGCTACGTGCAGTAACACCCGAAGAGTGGTCATCTTCGGGGTGGGCGCGAAGGTCTGAAATAAGTCAACTCCCTCACGCTGACTGAACCCTCTAGCCACGTAGCGTGCCTTGAAGACTGGGGGAGATCCCGGCGGCCGCTTCACCTTGAAGATCCACATGCCGTCAACTATGTTCGCCCCTGGGGGTGGAACCTCGTCAACGTAAGTGCCTGTGGACCTGTAGGAGGCCATCTCTGCGTCCATGGCAGCTCTCCACTGAGAGGCCCAAGGCCCTGACACTGCCTCAGCGTAAGTGCGAGGAGTAGGTATGTCAGGAGCGTCGGGGTCTCCCTCAGGAGCGAGGAGCATGGCGCAGAGATGAGGCGAAGCAGCTGCTAGGAACTCTAGCTCAAACTGTCTGTCCTCTAGGACGCCACAGCCAAAGGCAGACTCACCCTCGGCGGACAGAGGACGGACAGGAGGAGCGGCCACAACACGAGTGGCGTAGTCAAGGCGACGCGTAGCAGTAAAGTCAGTGACAGTGGCAGTGAGGACCGCGACTGAGGAAGGAGAGGCACGAGGGTCTGTAACAAGAGAGGCGAGAACACGAGAGAGAGTGGGGCGGTACGTGCGGTAGTAGTCAGTGACCGGAGTGGACAGGGAGGCAGTGAGGGACGATGCAGGAGGACGAGGAAGAACAGACGGAGGAGGATGAGGAGGACTAGGACGAAACAACACGGTACGGAGGTCAGTGACAGGTGACGAAGGACGAGCACGAGGAGGACAAGAGGTCCAAGTGTGGGCGAGAGGAGAGGGAGACGGAAGAGACTAAGAACGAGGGAACACAGCCGGAGCTGAGTCCGGAGGAGGAAACGTAGGATTGAACACAGGAGGAGAGGAGGGGAGACCAAGGGCCCGAAGGCCAGAAACAGGGGCCGGAGGCTGCTCCGGCTGCTGCGGCTGCTGCTGCTGCTGCTGCTGCTGCTGCTGCTGCTGCTGCTGCTGCTGCTGCTGCTGCTGCTGCTGCTGCTGCTGCTGCTGCTGCTGCTGCTGCTGCTTCTGCTGTTGCTGCTGCTGCTGCTGCTGCTGCTGCTGCTGCTGCTGCTGCGGCTGCTGCTGCTGCTGCTGCTGCGGCTTCTGCTGCTGCTGCTGCTGCGGCTGCGGCTGCTGCGGCGGCGGCTGCTGCTGCTCCAACCTCTCACGCTCCACCCGCTGCTGAACCTCCGACCTCTCACGCTCCAAACGCTACTGCTCCGTCCTCGACAGTACCCGCCTGAGCACCCCCAGAGCGAGTACCTCCCGCGGCAGCACGACCAGCACATGTAGGAGGTGTACCCGCACCCCCAGTCATGGTGCCTCCAGTGGCACCAGCACCAGCCCCAGCCCCAGACTCTCCAGCTCCAGAAACACCACCAGCTCCAGCACCACCACCAGCTCCAGTACCCTCGGAACGGGCAGCTGCGCCAGGTGCACGCTCAGCGCCAACGCCAACACCCCCTGAACGGGCGGCTCCTGTAGGTGCACGAACAGCTCCAACGCCAGCACCCCCAGAGCGAGCACCGCCAGAGCCCTCACCTCGAGCACCAACACCGTCAGAGTCCGCATTGGCCGGTAAAGGAAGCGCTGACGGCTGCTGCGGAGGCTGTGAGGACGACTGTGGGGAAGGACGAGATACCTGGGGGGGTTCCGAAGGGGGGGGGAGTAGCGTGGGACACACCAGACGGAGCGGGAACAGGGGGGGGTACAGGAGGAGCAGGGGCAGGAGGAGGAGGAGATGGAGCCAGGAAGAGGGGAGGGGGGGGAACCGGGAGACCTCGACAGGGGTACCGGACGTAGTAGGGGACGGACTCGTCGAAACGGATGTCACGAGAATCAAAGAACCGGTGGGAGGGAAGGTGGTAAAAGGTGAAGTCAGAGGAGCCCTCTGGGAAACCAAGGAAGACACAGGGGACAGTGCGAGGCGAGATCTTGTCCGCAGAGGTGCCGCGGACAAGAGCCAAGCAGCCCCAGACACTAAACCTCGACGCAACACCAGGGGACCCTGTCCAAAGACTGGTCGGTGAAGCCCCTGGCCGAGAGACGCGAGGCCAGAGGTTCAGCTGGTGAGCGGCGTACCGAGCCGCGTAGGGCCACAGAAAATGGGGCGCGCGGGCGTGGATCATGGAGGTGCGGGCGATCTTCATGACCAGGCCTAAGCGGCGCTCAGCAACCCCATTCTGCTGTGGAGAGTCTGGAAGAGTCCAGGACTGGGTGATGCCCTGCTCAGCACAGAATCTGGCGAGAATGCCGGAGCGAAACTCACCCCCACGGTCGGAGTGAAGACAACTGACACGACGACCGCGAGTGCCCTCGGTTGCGAGGAGCCACCGGATCAGCGTAGAAGTCACGTCGGACTTCTTCGCCAAAGGGAACACGGTGGTGTACCGAGAGTAGTCGTCAACGACCACCAGAAAGAAACTCTCACGCTCAGGGCTAAGGCGGGGAGCGGGGCCCCAGACGTCTAAGTGGAGAGTCTCGAAGGGCTCGGTGGCCGGACGAAGGGAGGAGGAGTGAGGGGTGGCGCGCAGCCGACCCTGGACACAAGGACCGCACGGAGGAGCTGGGGACGGCGGGATTGGCGGGAGGACTCGGGGGAAGCCTAAGACAAGACGCTGACTGGACATAGCGCGGAGACGAGAGAGGGAAGGCTGACCAAGGCGGTGGTGCAAGAGGAGGGAGGGGTGGGCAAGCGACCGACACGAGCACGACGCAGCAACTACACCTGACACAGCAACCTGACTGGACCCGGCTACCTGGTGGGACGGGGGAACCTGACGGGGGTCGGTGCGGAGGGTGTACAGACCGGAGCCCGGCTCCTGGCAAAAAGTGGCCAAGGGGGCGTACGTGTCACCGTCCACACGGACCGTGATGTCACCAGAAGGCTCAACCCAGACCCCGACGTGCTGTCTCGCCAGGGTGCCCACACCAACCAGGTTCCTAGAGAACGTAGGAACGTGGAGGCCAGTCAGGGAACTGGAAGGAGCAGCTGGGCACGGGAGTGTAGTGGCGTGAGTCGCAATGACCGATCCCGAAGAGGGATCGGCCAGTGCTACAGGGACAGGCGCCGGTAGCGGAGAGAGAGTCGTGTGGTCGCGGAAGAAGCAGTGTGATGCTCCGGAGTCCAGTGTGAAGGAGAGAGAGGCGTCCGCTGAGGGAGTACATGTACTAGTAGCTAAACAAGATCCTACACTAGCACCTACTCTAGCAACAGACAAAGATTCTAAGCTAGGTACAGGCAAGTACACAGATCCAGGAGCACTATAGTCAACATCAGCATACATGGCATATGACCTAGCATCATCCATAGTCATATCAAAAACAACAATACCACGAGCAAGAAGTGTCCCCCAGCGTGGCGGCGGGGGAGCGGAGGGGCCGTGGTGCAAGCGGTAGAGGTCGTCGAGACGACTGAAGCAGCGTGCAGCAGAGTGGTTGGGGCGGCCATAGTACGAGTCCCGACGAGGACCCGTAAGGATCCAGTACTCACAGGGACCAACGTCGCGGCTGGCTGAGCGAGGTCCCCGACTGGAGGGGGCGCCACTGCGCCCAGTGCTCGGGGGACCCGCAGACCTCCACTGCTGCTGAGGGCCCCACTGCTGCGGAGGGCCCCACTGCTGAGGCTGCTGCTGTGGCGGGCGCTGTTAATGGCCCTGTCGCTGCTGCTGCTGTCCCTGCCGCTGCTGCTGTCCAGGTGGTGGCAGCTGCTAAGGAGTCGGCTGCTGCTGCTGCTGGGACCCCTCACCACCAGTGAAAACTCCACCGTCGAAAGGAGGGCCGTCAGGTCCCGAGCCACCCCCACCACCACTCCCACCACCTGCTCCACCGCCACCGCCACTACCCGCACCACCTCCAGTACCCCCGCCGCCCTTCCCGCCCCTCTTACCAACCTTGCCACGTTTCTGCCCGCCAGAGACAGAAACAGCCGCCGTCTCCTCAGAGGCACAAGACGTGGGGGTGGCAAGTGAGGCAGAGAAGGTGGGAAGTTGTGGTACCGCACACCCCTCAAAAAGACGAGGAGGAGGCGCGGAAGAGGCAGAGGCAACAGTGAGGAGGTTACTCTCGATCTTCGAGAGAGCAGTCTCAAGAAGTTCGATGGTAAGCTCAGTGGGGTGCTTCAGAAGAAGCGCGTCGCGGGCTGTGGCTAGGCGGTCAAGGAGGCGAGTGACTAGCCAGTGAATAGTGAGCCACATAGGGGGTGGGGCAAGGGCAAGCTGGTCCTCAGTGCAAGCAGCGCGAAAGCGAGCATCAAGGGAGCGCAGGTGAGTAGCGAGGTCAGAGACAGTCTCAAAGGAGGTGAGGTCAGGGTAGATAAAGGGTACGAGGAGGCGACTGAGCGAAGTAGAGGAGGGAGTGGAGTAGCGAGTAACAATAGCCTTATACAGATCTGCAGCAGACTCGACCTGAGCGAAGTGGACTGCCTCTGTCGGCGGGAGAAGGTCGGTCAGGGCGAGGCAGGCAGCGGCGTCACGAGACTCCCACACGTCGCGGGCGAGGAGCTGGCGCTGGTAGTCGGCCTCCTGCTCAGAAGTAGGCGGTGGGGTAGTGGGCAGCGGCTGAGGTTGCGGAGGGGCGGTCTGAGTGCCAGACGCGTGTGCGAACAGGTGCACGCCATCCTGCCGCTGGCTCTTGAGGTGGCGCTGCGCCTGCGTAAGCCACGGACTAAAGTCAATTGGTCTCCCTTCAGGGTCAAATCGAAGTACTCGGAAGGTCGCCATAGGGGGCGAAACTGAGAGAGCGCGGCTGCCAGCCGCGGGAGGGGGAGACAGTCAGTGGCGTGTGGGCAAGCGCGCAGGCGTGCAGGTGGGCAGGCGGCGCGGCATGCGGACAGGCGGGCGGCGCGGCGCGCTCGCTGGCGGGCGGCACGGCGCGCTAGCTGGCGGGCGGCGCGGCGCGCTGGCTGGCGGGCGGCGCGGCGCGCTGGCTTGGCGTGCTGGCGTGCGCGCCGGCGTGGCGCGCTGGCGTGTGCGCTGGCGAGCGCGCTGGCGTGACGCGCTGGCGGGCGCGCTGGCGTGTGCGCTGGCGGGGCGCGCTGGCGTGACGCGCCGGCGGGCGCGCTGGCGTGCGCGCTGGCGGGGCGCGCTGGCGTGCGCGCTGGCGAGCGCGCTGGCGGGGCACGCTGGTGTGCACGCTGGCGGGGCGCGCTGGCGTGCGCGCTGGCGGGCCTGCTGGCTAGGGCGCTGGCGGGCCTGATGGCTAGGGCGCTGGCGGGCCTACTGGCTAGGGTGCTGGCGGGCCTGCTGGCTAAGGCGCAGGCGGGCCTGCTGGCTAGGGCGCTGGCAGGCCTGCTGGCTAAGGCGCTGGCGGGCAGACGGGGGGGGGGGGTTTCACGCCAAGGCTAGTGACGGCCGAAGTCTAGGAACGGCGGAGACTAAGTGTGGCCTAGGAATGGCGAACCTACTGCTAACACAACGGAATGAGTTGGATTGATTGGGTTGAGGTACAAATGTCTAACCCTAACTGTTTGTACCCCATATAGCATGACCCACTAGAGGCTATAATATTTGACACAGAAAAGGGTGTTTTCACGTGTTTGATAAAACGTTTTACGCAATCGGTCACAATCAACTAGGAAAAAATGACGCGAATGGTAACAGATGAATCTCCCGCCCAAAAAAGATAATAACCAAATCGAACCTGATGATCAGATTCCGATTGGGTTTTAGTTTTTTTTCGAAGTTGGTTGATTGGTTGGGCGCGAGCGGGATTTTGTAGAGTTTCAAGATTTGTTCGTGTGATTTTTTGACTGTTTTTAGTGATCGTTGGGCACCAGTTACTGTACATTCGCAAGCCATCTCGAAATCATGTTACCCTGTCAATTGCGACTTTGTAGCTGTCCCTCGATCGATTGAGGGCAGGATCGATCGAGGGAGGGGACGCGCCCTAAGCCTCTATGCCAACCAGTCACGCATTTCCCTTGCTCTCAGCCCAGGCGAACCAGTAACAGTGCTGCATCCACCACTCCGTTTCCAGCTCGTTCCAGAACCAGTCATGCGATTCCCTCTCAGCCCATGCCAACCAATCACCAAAATTCCCCTTCTCTCAGCCCAGCCCAACCAAAAACACATGGGCAAGTCGATGACTTATCGCCAGTGCTTCGCATTCACTTCGCAATGCTCACTGCAGTCATCATATTTCTATGTAGTAATAGTATTATACTGCACGGTGCCTCCGAGGCGAATCAGATACTCAGCCGAGATTACTTTTGAGACGACTCAAAAAGTCGCATCGCAACGCTCACTTCATTTATCAATAGTATACTGCAAAGGCGTCTCCGAGGCGAATCAGAGTCACTCTAAGTGTAAACTGTAGTAAACTGCCTACTTTTCCTTCACGGCAGCCATGGACAAGTACATCAAGTGCTTTCGCCTCGGCGGCGACGGAGCGGGGTTTGTGAAAGTGACGGGAGGTGAGCGATAGTAGGTGAGTAGTAACATGACTTGAGGGAGATTCGCGTTCCAAACTCCAACTGTCCGGCCGAATTTCAGTCGTTTTGATCGTGCGACGCAGAAATGAGACTACTTTTGAGGCGCCTGAAAAGGATGTCAGTCGTTTTGATCGTGCGACGCCGCAGTCGGAGATCTAATATATTATTTTCCGAACTGGAATTATTCCACCCTCTCGCAGCATTTTAGCTCAAAGTGTCCACCAGCTCATTTCTCCTCTGCTGCTTTTCCCGTTCCGCTCCTCCGTTCCTCCCTCTCGCTCCAATTGTTTCGCGCGCCCCAGCCACCGCGGCTCCCCTGGGAGAGTCTTCCGAAGACCAAGGCAATGCCTCCCCGCGAGCGCATGCTCCCCTTCGCCCCGCGAGTTCAGCTATAAGGAGCTCAACAAGGCGACGGGGGGCTTTAAAAGCGTCATCGGGGACAGGGGGGTTCGGAAAGGTGTATCATGGGCGGATGGTGCTGCCTGCGGGCGACGGCGCGATGAGGGAGGTTGAGGTGGCACTGAAAGTGATGAAAGGAAAGCAATTTACTTATCAAGAGCTCAAGACCTTCGAGGTGAGTGCTGTAGCGCGTATGGAGTGTTTATTGTTGTGGTGACCTAAGAAGGGACAAGAATATCTCTGACTCTATTTACCGAATGAATAAAACAGAAGCCATGTAGTGACTTTTCACTCCGAGTCATTCTTTTATTCCACTCCTTCCATCACAAATTTGTTGAGAATAGTAGCTAGTACTTAGTAGCCATAGTTAGGGTTTTGGGTTCTAGCATGAGAGAAGAACAGCAGAAGAGAGGTTTCACTAGCAAACAATGGGATACATATAGGAAACCCTAACAGGGCTGTACTCACTATAGAGTACCCCACTGCAGACTAGAGAAATATAACATTCTGACACACCCCCATAATCAAAGTGGGGTATAATCAGCACAACAAGCAGTCATAGAGCAAGCTCACAAGCACAAGCAAAGCTAGAGGCAGTCACAGAGGGCAAGTGAGGAGGAGGAGGGACTGTGCAAGGAGTGGAGATAGGAGGCGATGGGTGAAGCCGCAGACACACGGGCAACAGGAGCGCGCACACGGTGGCTACCGGAGCAAGGGCCCCGGACTACAGGAGTAACTGGCTCCGCGGCTAAGACGAGCGGCAGGAGCAACGGACCCGCGGGCGACTGGCGCAGCAGGCTCGCTAGGCTACTGGAGCACGACGGCTCTGGACTACTGGCGCTGTGGCGACACGACGGCTACCTCCGCTCAACCTCCCCCACTGTCGCAGACCCCTTTCACACACCCCCCTATGCACCCCTAGCTCCACTCCCACGGCACCCCCCTAGCGCCACTTCCCCGGCTCCCACACATCCACCCCCCTCAGCGGTAACTGTAGCAGTGGGAGACCGAGGAGGAGGAGGAAATAGGGGACGACTCACACACCCGCCACCCCCATACCCGCCACCCCCATACCCCAAACGCAGGCGGCACGCGCGCGGCGCGAGGCAGATACGCGGGCAGCAGCTGGGGCGGCGTGCGAGCGGAAGTGGGGCGGCGGGCAGGTCCCTAGGGCGCTTTGACGGGCGACGGGCAGGGCGGCGCGCGGGCCCCCAGGGCGCCATGACGGGCGACGGGAGGGGGGGCGACGCGCGGGCCCCCAGGGCGCCGCGACGGGCGACGGGAGGGCGCGCGGGTCCCCAGGACGCCGCCATGGGCGACGGGAGGGGGGGGCGACGTGCGGGCCCCCAGGGCGCCGCGACGGGCGACGGGAGGGGGCGGCGCGCGAGCCCCCGAAACGCCGCGACGGGCGACGGGAGGGGACAGCGCGCGGGCCCCCGGGGCGCCGCGACGGGCGACGAAACCGCCGCGCGCGCCCGGGGCGCACGCGGCGGGCAGGAAACCGCCACGCGCCCCGAGCGCGTGACGGGCAGAAAACCGCCGCGCGCCCCGAGCGCACGGCGGGAAGGGCGCGCGACAAACAGTACAGCAGCGAAAGTAGGTGGGCCCACAGGCCAGGAGCGTGAACGCTCTGATACCATGTTGAGAATAGTAGCTAGGACTTAGTAGCCATAGTTAGGGTTTTGGGTACTAGCATGAGAGAAGAACAGCAGAAGAGAGGTTTCACTAGCAGGCAGTTGAGTTCATATAGGAAACCCTAATTTGGGCTATACTCGCTATAGAGTACCCCACTGCAGACTAGACAAATATCACATTCTGACAAAATTTGTTTCCCCCCCATACAATGTACTTATAGGTTCTGCTATATTGTAGATATAGAGCTATATAGAGTAAATTGAATATAGCAGAACCAATAAGTTGGCATGTCCTTACCTGTACAATTCCCTCTGCCCCTTATCTGTTCCATGTTTTCAGGCTGAGGTGGCAGCCGTGTCAGCAGTGAATCATCCCAACATCCTGAGTCTGGAAGGTGTGGCAATAAACAAATAGCAGAGGCCGCTTTTCGTGTATGAGTACATCCCTGGAGGCAACGTCAAGACTCTCCTCCAACGAGGTGAGAAGAATTCCCTCCCCCACGTTGTGAAGGGCGGCGCTACTACGCACACCCCTGAGGCCGGTTCTCGTGTATGAGTACCTCCCGGGAGGCGACCTCAAGAATCTCCTCCAACGATTTGAGAAACTTCCTCCCTCACATGGTTTTATTGGTTTGCAGTTGGTGGTTTCGGGTAATGGGGGAGGGAGGAATGTCAGTGGGTCCTCGTGTCGTGTATGAGCTCATCCCTGGAGGAGACGTTACAAATCTCCCCCTACAAGGTGAGAAAAACCCCTATGCTTACCATTTTTTCTGCTCCTCCCACCCTCTCTCCCCACTCTCCCTCCTCGCTCTCCTGTTTGCTCTCCTGTGTTCTTCCTTGCTTGATGTTTCTCCTCTCGCTGATACAAATGTCGTACCTGGAAGGACCTAATGACGAGGCGTGTAAACTCTTTCCGTTAGCTCTTGTTTGCACCTCAGTGGGAATATACGCGTATAGCGTATTTACGAGTGTCGTATATACGCGCGCGTATATACGCTATACGCTGAAGGGTCGGCTTTGGGGATCCGCTTTTTCGGGCAGGAAAAAAAAACCTCCCAGGCAGGGTAAAAAAATCCCAAAGGGGGGGGGGGGGGGGGGGGGGGGGGGGGGGGGGGGGGGGGGTGGTATGGGGGTGGGGTTTGGGGTCTGAAGTTTCTAAGTTTTTTTTAATTTCTGCACATAGTACATATACCACGGCCTACACATGACATGTCTTTTCTCTAAGACTCTTACCACCATCACTACGCAACTACTATTTCTTTAGCCTAGCCGCCCACACCAAGCCACATATGCCCCCTCTAGTTATCGTACTCGTCTTCGAGGATGTCGTCTTCGCCTTCCTCCTCATCCTCTCCCTTTGTCTCGACTTCCAGCCCATTGGCTCCAATCCCGGGCACCACATGTGGCAAGACATCGGCGCGCGTGTGCCAGCTGCGCACAACATTCCAGTTGTGCGCAACAAAGACCAAGTCCTTGCGCTTGGCGGATCCGAGCCTATTTCGGCGTGCGGTGTGGACGGAATCCTACGTTGACCATCCACGCTCACAAGGTGAGGGTGACACGGGCTGAGACAGCACCCGTACCGCGAACCCCGCCAGCACGGGGGCATCAATCCCATTCCACTGCCACCATTTCACCATGCTGTACTTTCCCTCTTTCACCATCTTCCTCTGTGCCACGGCTTCCGGCATTCCAAAAGAACCCTTCATGTCAAGGAACGCCTTCAGTCCGTCCCCCAGAGCAAGCAAAGTGTCACACGCGTCATCCCCCCCATCCCCGCGGCTCGCGATGAACTCGCCATGCTGACTGAGGAATGTCTAGAAGACTTTCGTGCACTCGGAATCAGTGTCGAAAATGTCTTCCTCTTGATTGGCGGGATTCAAGATGCGGCCAGCGACATGCATGGCGCATGCGAGGCTGCGTCCCAACGGTTTTTGAGGATGCGGCGGATTTGGGCCTTGTCGCCGCTGCTCAACTGCTCCTCGTCCTCGTCGAGCAAGTCCCCCATGTCCTCTGTCAACTGGAGCATCACGTCGTACATTTTCCCCATCATCCTCACAGCATGCTCGTCTGTCTGCCTCATCGCCTTGTAGGGCAGCTTGAACAGGGTAGTGAAGATTTCGGTCGTTTTCCACCAAACGGCATCAAGGATCAGCGCGCTAAATTGGTCGCATGATTTCTTCCGCTCCCCTGCCGCCCACTCCTCCCACATGTCGCTCAGCACCATGCTGAGAAGGCTGCCGCGCATCGCATTAAGGCGGGATATGGCTATGTAATTGGTCCCAAATCGGGTTCCAGCCGGCTTCAGCGCCTGCAGAACCGTCCCCTCCACCAATACCGGCGTCCGCAGGTACCCTTGGGTCCAATGGTGGTTGCGGACGAAGCTTAATATCTCCCCTCCCTTGTCGACAGCCGGCTTAGCCCATCCCATCTTCCCCACATCTTCCATGAGAAGATCCAATACGTGAGTGGCGCACGTCACATCCTGAATGTGCAGCCACTCCCGTATAAGTTGATTCACCGCCACCGCATAGTTCGAACCCCCGTCCATGCAGAATGCAACAACGTTCTCTGGACCCACTTCCTCCACCACGGGCCTAAGAATCCCCGCCACGTAACCTCCTGTTTTCTTCTCCATGTTGCAGTCAACACAGTCGGTGAAGATGGCGCCGGAATCATTCACGAGAAACACATTGGCCTGCGATCTGCCGTTGCGGTCCGTCATCATGTCGGACGAAACCGTCACGCCCGTCCTCTTCCAAATCGCCTTAATGCCCACCAAACCCTGCTCGATTCCGTTGCGACACGCGACTAGGCCAGCACCGCCGACGTATTTCCTCTTCGGAGGGACGTAGTCGACGCCGGCGCGCGAGACGAGGTTCAATGCATTGACCATCAGAGGATGGTCAATGTTGCGCTCGGGGATATGGAGGGCGGCCCATGCAAGCGCAAGTGACTCGTCGGCTTCTCCCTTTCTAGCAGCCGCATCCCCCTCCAGGTAATCGGTGATGCGCGCCCCCTTCCCACCGTTAGCCTTCGCCGCGGCAACCGCTTCAGCTGCAGCCCGCCTCTTTTCTTCGGCCGCGGCAGCCGCTGCCTCGTACTTCGCGCGCATAGCCAGACGCACATCTTGCGGCGCATCCTTGCAAAGCGCCACTTCACGGCGTTTCATCCCCTTCCACGACGTGAAGTGTTGCACGCATCGGATGGAAGCACCAGTGAAGACGTTGTTGCAGAACTTGCACTCGTACTGCTGAACTTTTCCCTGGACCCTCTTGATGATGTGGAAGTGCTTGAAGACGGCATGGTCAACGTCGGGGAGATACTCCCGTGCCTCGGTTAGAAGAGTTTGCGAGATGCCAACGGTGTTAGCTGACTGTGGCGTTGGAGGAGAGGTAGTAGAAGTCGACATAGGCACCATGCGTCAGGGAATGCCGAGAGCTCTGCTGGTAGCGGGAGAAGAACTAATGAATTGGATGTGCGAGGTGAGGGTGTTTAATAGCAAGTTGATTGTGTGAGTGGGAAGATGGGCAAGAGAAGTTGGAGAGTAGTTGGATGTGAAGGGTTTGAATGCGGTATTGCTTGTGACACCAAAATGTGAGGGAACGTGCAGGCGCGACTCGAGAAACGTGACTTTCCATTCGCAACACCAACTTTCAACCCACGTCCACGCTAGCACACCACGCGGACGTGCAAGCTGACCCCACCAATGTCTTCGTCGTGCAATTCCGAAGCGAACCGTATAGGTTGGAATTTTCCGGCCGGGCTGCCCCAAAAAAAAAATGGCGAGCGTATAGCGTATTCGATATCGTATAGCGTTTTGCGTATACACGCTAGCGTGTATACGCTAAATGCAAACAGTTTTGAGCGTATACTCCCACTAAGGCTTGCATTGCTTATCTCCTATGTTTTCTAGATGTTTGGGGTCCCGAATTTTTGCAACCATCCTCTTTAGAACCCATCTCCTTAGCCAACGGACCCTCATCCCCTTATCCCCTGCCTGCACTGCTCCCATTGCCCCTACTCCCACTCTCCCCCTCGCCTTCCCCCATCCAGTCCGCATGAACTAAATACGATTCCTGCCTCCACTGTTCCCCCTCCCCCCCCTCTCCCCTTCGACTTTCCCCCTCCATTCCGCCGGAACGAAGATCAGTTCCCATGGAAGGATCGTGTGAAGGTTGCGCTGGGGGGTGCCGAGGCCCTAGCTTTCATTCACAAAAAGGGGTTCATTCACCGCGATTTCAAGACGACAAATGTGCTTTTGCGAGAGGTACGGCGGAATCAGTTTAGACTATGTGTGTGTGTTTTTCTTCTCTTTGCATTATAGCACTTAATTTCGTATGACACGTAAAAGGGCTTTCAACTAGCTTGCAATTGCTCCAGCTACATGCTAAAACTATTCCAGCAGCATCATGTGATGGTTTAGCCCCTCCCATTTGGATTTCTTTGGCATATGGATTCGATTTCCCCATATTTTTGTCCGACTTTAACCTGTCACTCACAGGATCGCACTCCAATCGTGGCCGACTTTGATTTGGCTCGCTTCATTGTGGAGTGGAAAGCACAAGAGTACATAGACTTGGGAGACACATGGGGCTACATTGACCGAAACTATCTTGAGACGGGCAAAATATACCCGGAGTCTGACACTCACGCGTATGGTGTGTTTCTTTTGGAGCTAGTTTTTGGACACCCTCCCCGCGACATAAAAGTTTGAAGAGCTGAGAAACGAGATCAGCCAAAAGGATTTCGAAAACCCTTCGTTGGTTGCTAACCATACTATGGAGGGGGAGTGGGAAAAGGAGCATGTTCTTAGAATCATTGATATGGCTCGCGCGGCCACATCCTGTGATTTGAGCGCAAGCTTAGCAATGGGGATTTACCGTAGTAGAAGTACTTCGGGGAATTTGGGGCAAAATCTGAACTTTGGATAGGATGGGATGCTTGCTATGAAAAAGGCGACAAAACAAAAGGGTTCAAGCTTTTGTGCTTTGTTGATGTTGCCGGTACTACTAACACCTTTGTTAGTAAGGTAGGTTTCTTCAGATTTGTTTCTCAAAGTTTATCTATCAAATATAATAGTTATAGGCTGTAGTGAGATGCATTCTAGAGGGTACAGATGCTAGGGTTTCCTATTTGTATCCAACACTTTGCTAGTTCATTCATTCCATTGTTCGCTAACTTTGAGATGGTATCATGAGTAGGTGTCGATCCTCTCGCCTAGCCTAGCCTAGCTCGCGCCCTAGCGCCCTCCGCGCCCTAGCGCCCTCCGCGCCCTCCGCGCCTTAGCCTCCGCGCCATCCGCGCCATCTCCACGCCTTCGCGCCCTCCTCCTCCGCGCGTTAGTGCCCTCCGTGCCCCTAGCCTGCGCCACTAGCCCGTCGCCCAGGCCCACGCCCTAGCCCGACGCCCAGGCGCCCGCCCTAGCCCGACGCCCAGGCGCCCGCCCCAGCCCGACGCCCAGGCGCCCGCCCCAGCCCGACGCCCAGGCGCCCGCCCCAGCCCGTCGCCCAGGCGCCCGCCCCAGCCCGTCGCCCAGGCGCCCGCCCCAGCCCGTCGCCCAGGCGCCCGCCCCAGCCCGTCGCCCAGGCGCCCGCCCTAGCCCGTCGCCCAGGCCCGCGCCCTAGCCCGTCGGCGAGGCGCCCGCCCTAGCCCGTCGCTCAGGCGCCCGCCCTAGCCCGTCGCCCAGGCCCGCGCCCTAGCCCGTCGCCCCGGCCCGCGCCCTAGCCCGTCGCCCAGGCGCCCGCCCTAGCCCGTCGCCCAGGCGCCCGACCTAGCCACCGCCCTGTCCCCCCAAGCTAACACCGTTCGTACTGCTACTGGCTTCTCACTCCGCGGCTGGCAGCCGCTTCTCGCTCCGGTCACTAAAATTCGACCCGGGTCGCACTTAGCTCCTAGCCTCTAGCCCCTAGCCCGGCTTCCTCCTCCACTGGCGCTCCTACGACTCCTAGGTTCACCTCCGCCGTTCCTAGCCTAGCGTCCAATATGGACTCCTCCCGCCGCCTTCGTTTCGATGCGGAGGGGCGACCGATCGAGTTCAGTACCTGGCAGCGCCAGGCCACGCGCTACCTCACCAGTCGGCGCCAGGACGGCACCACCCTGTGGGCCCACGCGTCTGGTGCCTTCAAGGCGCCCCTGTCTCCCGACCCCCTCCCGACCGACCCAGAGCCGACTCCTGCGGCGCAGGCAGACTACGACCGTCGTGTCTTGGCGAGGGACGTGTGGGACTCTCGCGACGCTGCCGCCGCTATTGCGCTGACGGGGCTCCTCCCCCCGACTGAGGCCGCCCACTTTGACCAGGTGGAGACAGCTCAGGGGGTTTGGGCTGCTGTTGTTGCACGCTAATCCACCCCTTCCTCTGCCTCCCTCAGTCGCCTCCTCATGCCGTTCGTGTTTCCCGACCTCGGCTCGTTTGCGACTGTGTCCGACCTAGCGACTCACCTCCGCTCACTTGACGCCGGTTTCCGAGCGGCCTATACCGACGCCCAGCATCTTGCTGCTCCCCCCCCCCCATGTGGCTCACTGTGCACTGGTTAGTCACCCGCCTCCCTGACCGCCTTGCCACTGCTCGCGACGCGCTTCTCCATAAGCACCCCACTGAGCTCACTATCAATCTCCTTGAGACCGCTCTCGGGACGATCGAGAGTAGCCTCCTCACCGTTGCCTCCGCCACTGACGCGGTGGCCCCCCATCTCTTTGCGGGGTGTGCCGCCCCTCAGCTTCCCACTTTCACTGCTACCCGTGCTTCTGCTGCTGTGTCGATTTCTGGGGACACTGCTGCCGCGGCAGAAACGGGGCAAGAGTGGCAAGAAGGGCGGGAAGGGGGGAGGTGGAGGCGGTGGAGGCTGCGGTGGAGGTGGCGGTGGAGGTGGGAGCGGCGGTGGTGGAGGCGGTGGCGGCGGCGGCGGCGGAGGTGCACCAGGCGGAGGGGACCTTGGAGGAGGTGCAGGACAGACAGGCCCGCCCACTTGCGGTTGCCCGACCGGTGGGGGTGTTGGACCCCAGCAGCAGCAATCACAGCAGCACCAGCAGGGACAGCAGTAGCAGCAGCAGCAGCAGGGACCGCAGCAGCAGCAGGCACCGCAGCAGTTCTAGCAGTGGGGGCCCCCACTGCCGTGGGGTCCGCAGCAGCACTGGGGTACCCCGCCGCAGTGGGGTCCGGGAGGACCAGGGAGCACCGGCCGCAGCGGCAGCGCTTCCAGCTGGGCCCCTCGCCCCCCTCGCCGTGACACTGGCCCCTGCACCCACTGGTGCCTCACCGGACCTGGCAGCCCCTGTCTCTGCGGTCGTGACGACCACTCTGCCGCGCGGTGCTTCCGCCGCCTCGACGACCTCTACCGTGCTCGTTGGGGCCCTACGGCAACCACACCTCGCTGGGCTCGCCTGTTAGCCCGTAAGATTGATGTGTTTGATCTGTCCATGGACGATGCTCGTCAGCATGCTTTGTATGCTGATGTTGACTATAGTGCTGATGGATCTGTGTGCTCGCGTGTTCGTAAATTAACTTGCTTGTCTCCTGCTAGTGTAGACTTGTGCCTTTCTAGTCTAGGTGCTTGTGTTGCTGCTCTAGGTGCTTGTGTAGCCACTAGGACAGGTGACCCTCCGGCTGAGGCGTCCGTGTCCTTCACGCTGGACTCTGGTGCATCTCAGTGCTTCTTCCGCGACCACACGACCCTCACGCCACTCCTCACTCCTGTTTCGGTGGCTCTGGCTGATCCTACCTCAGGACCAGCCGTTGCGCGTAGCTCCACTACCCTCCCGTGTCCTGTGGTCCCTGCGCGGCCTCCACAACCTCTCGTTCACTCGGAACTTGGTGGGTGTTGGTTACCTCCAGGACAGGGGGATCGGGTGGGAGGAATGCGATCTGTACAGACGCTGCCACTGGTGCTGTTCTGGCCACGTTCTCCAGGGAGCCCCGCTCCGGTCTCTACGTTCTCCACACCGAGCGCTCCCCGGTTGCGTCCTCTTCGTTGCGTCCCCTCCAGTCCAGGTGTCCCGTCCGGTTGCTGTGTCTAGCCAGGTGGTCGTGTCTTGTCTAGTTGCAGTGTCTAGTCAGATCGCGCTGTCTAGTGCAGTCGCTGCGTCCTGCTCATGTCGGTCCCTCACCCACCGGACCGTCTTGTGGCATCACCGCCTTGGCCACTCCTCAATCCCCCGCCTCCGCGGGGTGACCACTCACGGGCTTGTCACCGGTCTCCCACGCACCTTTCCGTCGCTCCCCACCTCCCCTGCTCCCCCTTGCACTCCTTGCGTCGCCGGTCGCTTACGCGCCACTCCCCACTCCTCCTCCCTTCCTCCGGCCACTGCTCCCTTCGAGACCCTCCACTTGGACGTCTGGGGCCCTGCCTCGACGCAGGGTTCTGGGAGGGAGCGTTACTTTCTGGTGGTCGTCGACGACTTCTCCAGGTACACCACAATGTTGCCTCTCGTGAAGAAGTCTGAGGTGACTGCTACGCTGATCCGGTGGCTTCTGGCCACTGAGGGCACTCGTGGTCGTCGTGTCAGTTGTCTACACTCCGACCGTGGGGGCGAGTTTTGCTCCGGCGTTCTTGCCGGATTCTGCGGCGAACAGGGCATCGTACAGTCCTGGACGCTTCCGGAGTCCCCACAGCAGAATGGGGTTGCTGAGCGCCGCATTGGCTTGGTCATGGACATTGCTCGCACGTCCATGGTCCATGCCCGTGCGCCCCATTTTTTGTGGCCCTATGCGGTTTGCTACGCCGCACACCAGCTAAACCTCCAGCCGCGCGTCTCACGGCCCGAGGCTTCACCGACCAGTCTTTGGACCGGGTCCCCTGGTGTTGGGTCGGTCTTTTGTGTTTGGGGCTGCCTTGCGCTTGTTCGCGACACCTCCGCGGACAAGCTCTCGGCACGCGCCGTCCCCTGTGTCTTCCTTGGTTTCCCGGTGAACTCTGCCGACTGGTCCTTTTACCACCCTCCCCTCCACCAGTTCCTAGACTCCCGTGACATCCGGTTTGACGAGTCTGTGTCCTACTACACCCGGTACCCCTGTCGAGGTCTCCCGGTACCCCCTCTCCCCCTCTTCCTCGCACCCTCTCCTCCTCCTGCACCCGCTCCTCCGGTACCCCCGCCACCCCCTGGTCCTGCCCCGTCTGGTGTGTCCCACGCTACCCCTCTACCCTCAGTCGCGCGTCAGGTAGCGTCTCCCTCCCCGCAGTCCTCCTCACAGTCCCCTCAGCAGCCTTCTACACTTCCGCGAGAAGTTCCTATGGACTCGGTTGGTGTTGGAGCTGGAGGTGCAGCTGCTGGCGGTGCTCGGTCTGGGGGTGCTCGTTCAAGGGGTGCTAGCGCTGGAGGTGCTGGCGCAGGTGGCGCTAGCTCTGGGGGTGCTGGAGCTGAAGGTGCTGGCACTGGAGGTGCTAGTTCTGGGGGTGCTGGAGTTGGAGGTGCTGGCACTGGAGGTGCTAGTTCTGGGTGTGCCGGTGCTGGAGGCGCTGGCACTGGGGGTGCTGGAGCTGGGGGTGCTAGTGCTGGAGGCGCTGGCACTGGAGGTGCTGGTTTTGAGGAGCCTGGAGCTGGAGACACTTGTACTGCGGAGTCCACTCCACCTCCCCACCGCCACGACACGCGTCTCCAGGCGGCCCGTCGACGTGAGCGTGAGGAGCAGGTGCTGTTGGAGAGGGAGCGGTAGGAGTTGCGGCGGTTGGACCTGCTGGAGCAGCAGCAGCAGCCGCAGCAGCAGCAGACACCGCCGCCGCCGCAGCTGCGACCACAGCAGCTCCCTCTGGGGCGGCAGTTGTTCCCACCCGTGAGTGGCCTTCGGGCCCTTGGTCTTCCCTCCTCTCCTCCTGTTCACACTCCGTCCCCTCCAGCGTTTGGTCCCACGTTTACTCCTCCTGACGCCAATCCGGCGGTCTGGTCTTCTCCTCCACCGCAGTCTCCTCCACCTGTTGTCCCGCACTCTCGTGTCCGTCCCTGTCCTCCACGTGCTCGTCACTCGTCTCCCGTTCCCGACCTCCGCACGGCCCTCCTTTGTTCGTCTCTTCGTCGCCCTCCTCCTGAGTCCGTTCTCCCGTCTCCTCCTCCGTCCTCTCTCCCTTCCCCCCCTACTCCTGTCACTGCCTACTACCGTGTCGGTTGACCTGTTGTCCCTCGTGTCCTCGCCACACTTGTCACCGACTCTCGTTTCCCTCCGTCGTCTGTCTCGGCTCTCACTGCCGCTGCCGCTGAGTTTGCTGCCGCCAGTCGCCTTGACTACACCACCCGTGTGGTGCCAGCTCCTCCCTCCCGTCCTCTGTCCGTCGGGAGTGGGTTTGCCCTTGGCTGTGACGTCCTAGAGGACAGAGAGTTTGAGCTGGAACACTGGGCAGCCGCTTCTCTCTCTGTCTGTGCCATGTTGCTATCCCCTGAGGGAGACCCCGACGCCCTTTACATACCGACTCCTCGCACTTACCGCGAGGCAGTGTCAGGGGCGTGGGCCTCACAGTGGAAAGCGGCTATGGCCTCGGAGTTAGCGTCTTGAAGATCCACAGGCACCTAGGTCGACGCAGTTCCCCCTCCCAGGGCGAACGTAGTCGATGGCATGTGGCTCTTCAAGGTGAAGCGGCCGCCTGGTTCACCGCCTGTGTTCAAGGCGCGCTACGTGGCTAGGGGTTTTAGTCAGCGTGAGGGAGTTGACTTCTTCCAGACCTTCACCTCGACCCCGAAGATGACTACTCTTCGGGTGTTACTGCACGTAGCAGCACAGCGAGACTACGAGCTGCACTCCCTTGACTTCTCTACTGCGTTTCTCCAGGGCCGACTACACGAGGAGATCTGGCTGCGCCGCCCTCCTGGCTTCACTGACACCTTCCCACCTGGGACCCAGTGGAGCCTGAGACGGCCAGTCTACGGTCTCCGCCAGTCGCCCCGTGAGTGGCACGACACTCTTCGCTCCACGCTTCGTGACCTTGGGTTTTGTCCTTCCTCTGCCGACCCGTCACTGTTTGTTCGCACTGGTTCCACTCATTTCTTTATACTAGTGTGCGTCGACGACTTTGTCTTTGCCACAGCAGACAGGGCAGCTCTGGCTCAGGTGAAGTCCGAACTGCAGAAGAGACACACGTGCACTGACCTAGGTGAACTGTAGCGCTACCTTGGCCTGCAGATCACCAGGGACAGAGCCGCTCGCACCATCACACTGACTCAGTCACACATGGTGCAGCAGGTCCTTCGGCGGTTCGACTTCCAGTTCTCCACCACACAGCCCACACCTCTTGCTGTTGACCATAGATTCACTGGCCCCTTTCCCGACGAGTCTTTTGAGTCCAGTGGTCCCTACGCAGAGCTGGTGGGCTGCCTCATGTACCTGATGACTTGTACTCGGCCGGACCTCGCCTTTCCCCTCAGCATACTTTCTCGCTTTGTTGCGACTGGGAGACAGCGTCCTGTCCACTGGACAGCTGCTGTGAGGGTGGCGAAATACCTGGCGACTACATCAGGCGTGGGGCTTGTGCTTGGAGGGACTCAGCCAGTGGCGTTGACTGGTCACTCCGACTCTTCCTACGCTGACGGCGTGGAGACTCAGCGCTGGACTCAGGGTTACTGCTTCAGTCTGGGTGCTGGTGCTGTGCCGTCGAGGTCTACACGGTCGTCGTCTGTGGCTACTTCCAGTGCAAAGGCAGAGATCTACGCTGGTGCCATGGCGGCACAAGAGCTTCGCTGGTTGACCTTCTTGCTCGCCGACCTTGGTGAGCGGCCTCGCTCTGCACCGACCTTGTACGCTGGCAACAAGGCCATGATCCTCCTCTGTCGAGAGCCTCGACTGAAGAGCAGAGTGAAGCATATTGACGTGAGGTACTTCCTCCTGCGAGAGCTGCAGCGACGCGACCAGGCACGCCTGGACTTTGTGGCCTCAAAGGCCAACACTGCATACGTTTTCACCAAGGCCCTGACGCTAGGTGACCACACAGGTTCTGTGTGCAGTTGGGGCTTGTTGAGGTAGGCCCTCGGTTGCTGTAGACTTGTTACTTGCTCTGCTTGTTGTGTTTTCCTATATATATCCTAGTGACCTCTTGAACTGGCCTTGTGGCCGCTTGCTTGTGCTCGGAATTTGTGTGGTGTCCTTGAGATCCACCCTAAGCTTGCCTTGCTTCTTGTCTTGATTGGTCCTGTGACCGTTTGTCTGCCTTGCTTGTTTTGATGCCCCTCACTTAGCCTATGGCGGTGTGTCAAATATAATAGTTATAGGCTGTAGTGAGATGCATTCTAGAGGGTACAAATGCTAGGGTTTCCTATTTGTAACCAACACTTGGCTAGTTCATTCATTCCGTTGTTCGCTAACTTTGAGATTATCCCATATGTTGTAGCAGATTAGCAGGCTCCGCAGCTTTACAGCCACATGCAGAGCACAGAACAGAGGGGCAATTGGGGAAATCCTCCTACCAGTTCACTCGACTGCGCTGATTTTTACCAAGATAATTTCAGTTTCATTCAAACCGTCACCGTACCGTATCGCTTCCTCATACGCAACGCAATGCAAGGTGTCATTGTCCTTGTCTTTTCTTCCAGGCACACTTGCGTATCCACAAATGCACGGAATGCCTCTCGCCATGGCCAACCGCTACAATAGCTAACCTTCCCTGCAAGCAACGCATCAACTCAACAGCTGCTAAAAACTCATTAAACCGCTGCACTTATACCGTATGTCATCCAACATCTGCACTCGAAGCTAGCAAACATTGCAACATTCAAAACTTAAAACACATGCACCTTCAACACTCGGTCGCTGTGTCAAGCTTTATAATACACCACCCACGACGACACAATCGTTTTCCCCTCCCCTCCCTTTCTCTCCCCTCCCCTCCGCTCCTTACTCTTCCTTCCTTCCCGCGACTTCGCCACTCATCCAACTCCCCTCGCGCATGCTTTCGAGCCTGTCCACGCATGTCCCCAGGCAACTGACCTCGCCAACCATCTTTCCACCATTCACCCCACTTTGCTTACCACCGCTGTCGCCACTACCCTCACAAACACTCTCCTTGCGGATTTTCTCGCACCCATCTCGGTTCCCATCCTTCCCACGCCTCCTCCCGCTGGTCCTGCCGGGGCATGTGAGCTTGTGAGAGGGCCAATGCGCCTTTTGGCAACCTCTGCTGCAATACGCCACCTTGCCACACCCACCGCAACTCCTTAGCTTCCCACCACCACCACCCTCCACCCAACCACACCCCGCATCACCGCACACACGGCCTTGGTCATCTGAAGCAGCAGCAGCAGCAGCAGCAGCAGCAGCAGCAGCAGCAGCAGCAGCAGCAGCAGCAGCAGCAGCAGCAGCAGCAGCAGCAGCAGCAGCAGCAGCAGCAGCAGCAGGAACACGGGTGCTTGCTGAAATGGGGGTGGGTGAAGCAGCAGGACGAGAAGAAACCACTGCTGCAGGATGGGTGGAAGGAGCAGGACAGGTGGAAGGAGGAGCACGGGTGGACATGCCACCAGGAGGAGTAGCAGGGGAGGCAGGGCGGTAGCAAGGCTCCCCAAGCAGCATCTCTCGCAAACATGCCACCAGGTTGACCCCCCCTGGCCATGCCTTCAGGTGCGCCGGCTCCTCCCCCTTCTTACACTTCTTCTCACTGCGGTTGCTGTCACCCATCCACTCACAGTTGCTACTGCTGCTGCCAGTGCTGCTCTCCCTGGCAGAACCACACTGCCCTTGCAACCCCTCACAGTACCTCGGGATGATCGCTGCCTCAAGAATCCATGTAATGTCCCACCCCCTTTCCGGCCTCTCCTGCTTCCTGGTTCCTCTGCACTCCTCGCTCTCTCCCTTACCACCCACGTTGAACCTCCACGCAGCCATCACCAAGGAAAACCACATCACCACCTCCTCCCACACCTCTCCACCGCTATCCTGAACCTCCTCACCATCCAAGCACCTTTCCACCTTCAACCTCCCACCTGTCCCCTCCTTCCCTTTTCCACCGCATTCCCGTTCGACCAAATCGTTTTTTAGCAAAGGATGCGCGCACCACATAGCCATGTGAATGAGAAAATATAGAGGCACCTGCTCAGCTCGCTCCAGCAGCACACCCACGTTCACAGGCCTGGGCAGGCGAGCAGGGAGGTCCAGGCACTCTACCAGCTTCACAAACCCAGGGGAGGCAGGCGGGAACGCCGAGAGAACCTGGGCAAACAGGTGACTGACGGGGCGATAGGCAAAATTGGCAATGACAGCAACGGAGCATGCGAAATTCATGAAGTCTGTGGAGCAGCGGGTGCAGTGGGCACATGCAGGAGGGTCCAATACGTACCCGGCTAGCCCCACCAGCAACTCCACATCTGCCTCGCAGCGCACGATAGGAAGCTTCCTTCTGGGGGGTGGTAGTGTGACTCTCTGCTCGGCGTTTCCAGGTGCTTCAGCAATTTTCCCACTGGCTCTGCTCTGTGTGGCTTCCACACTGCACTCCTGCCCTGCTGCCTTACAACCTTTTCCCCGTGCCCTCCTGCTTTCCCCTTCTGCTTCAGATGTGTGCCGAGGAGGTTGAGGCGATGTCCGCTTCTCTGCTGGTCCACCACACTCCTCCACAATCCCAAGCCCAAAACATCGCTCTTTCGGGTTGTCAGGAAACTTCGCAACAGCTTCATCGCCCCCAGGCCACTCCTCCCACTCCAGCGGAACGCCGCTTCCTTCCAGAGGCTTGGGAATGGCGCCAAACCTGACCAGCAGGCTCGGAAGGTCCCGGAGCGGGTGGCGCATAACCCATACCTTGCTCGGAGCACCGTCTTTCGAGCACTGGTTTCTTGAGATGGAATCTGGGCCGTAGATTCGGACCCACTGCAAGATGCAACGGACCCGATAGGTGAAGGCAGCAACCACGAAATTCGTGTTCACAGGCACAAGTCTTCTGACCGGCACTAACCTATCGACAGGCACGAGCCTAGCGTTTGTAGCAACGGCTGTAGCAGGCTGAGGCGGCTGGAGGGGCTGAGGGGGCTGAGCTCCTCCCACACCTGCCCGGTCTCCTCCATCCATCCCCCTTCTCTGCTCTAAGCGATGCTGCAGCAGCGTCCTTCTAGCCACCTGAATAGCTGCTCTCTCTACCTGCATCTTGCTCGCAGGGTTCGCATTATAAAAGTACATCTCTGCCTCCTTCCAGTGCTCTGGTTTCAGCAAAGCTGTGGTGACAGCGAGGGCGAACTCGGTCGCACCTACACCACTCACGTGCATGCCCTTGGGAGCACCGGTGCTCGTACTGCTGCTGGCTTTAGAACTGCTGACGTTGCTGCTGCTGCTGCTGCTGCTGCTGCTGCTGCTGCTGCCCCCTTCACTGCAGTGGCTGCACTGGAAATTTCTTCCTTCCCCCCCTCCATGCTCCAAAATCCAAGCCATGCCATCCACATACCGCTTCCACACGGGCCCTCTCGCATTCTCCCTCCACTTCAAGTCCTTCCTTACCCTCCTGCCTTTCCTAGCAGCCGCAAGGACCTTTACCTTGCTCTCTCCCTCCTCCTCCCCGTACCTCTCATCGTGCTCCAGCCCCTCATGCCTTCCTGTCTCCTCTTCAGTACCTTTTCCCACACCCTCACATTCCCCGTCTCCCCATCCCCCCTCTCCATGCACCTTCTCCAGCCCGCCTGACAGCACATGCTGCAAAAAAAACCCAAACCCTTCCTGCAGGTCAGCACTCTCCTTCACCCCGAGCACTTGAACCAGCATGGAAGCAAAACAGTCATTTTTTGCCTGCCTGCCCGCCCCTAGCTCGGCGAGAATAGCTGGCCAGGTGGCCAAATGCGAGTACTTATGAGCCCTCCATAGAGTCACAATGCGGGAAGATCTCGCTACAAGAACGAGGTGTGTTGCGAAGTTGACGGCACGACGGTAGGCAGCCCAGCAACTGCTGCAGCGCCAGCAGCAGGACCAAGCTGGGGAAGCAGCAGCTGCGTTTCTGTCTCCTGCTGCTGCATCTTCTCCAGCTTCTGCTGCTACTGCTGCTGCTCCAGCTACTGCTGCATCTGTTGCAGCTTCCGCAGTACTCAAAATGGACGGTAGGCGGGATCGGATCCTCCCAAGGTCCATGAGCACGCCCACACGAGGCTCAGCCATCCACTCGAGCAGCATCGCTTCCGCACAAAAGTGAGGCGCCCATTCCATCTTCCATACAACCTCCTCCTCCGGCGATATTCTGCGGCCCGCTCGAAACACACGCAGCTCCTTTGCTCCACTAACGCACTTCAAATTGGCCTGCTGCTGCTGCTGCTGCTGCTGCTGCTCGGGTGCTGCGGCAGGGATGCAATCCGGCTGGGGTCTTGCCAGGTGGCGGCCACGCACGTCCTTCATGCTCTTTATGCAAAGTGCTTGCTGTGCTCTCTGGCTCACTGCACGGTCAAAGCAGCACCTACATACATCCGCATCCCACGCACTCGTTACATCCAAGTAATGCACCATCCCCGCCCGCGACAGCAGCTGACGCGGCTTCCGACTCTCCCCAGCTCTTGCTTTCTCTGGTGCTGCTCCGTTTGCCACATCGGGCTGAATCGGTCCCCCCTGGTCGATCTGGACTCCAGAGCAGGGTTTCAAATGCAGTGTCGCATTCGTCTTCACCTCCTCTTTCAACTCCCGATTCTCATCAGCTCTTGCTTTCTCTGCTACCGCTCCGTTTGTCACATCGGACTGACCCGGTCCCCCCTGGTCGATCTGGACTCCAGAGCAGGGTTTCAAATGCAGTGTCGCATTCGTCTTCACCTCCTCTTTCAACTTTTGAAGGAACTGTGACAAGCGTGCTACTTTCACAGCATGGTCTTCCTCCTCTTCCGCTTCCGCTTCATTTCCCTCTTCCTCTACCTCTTCCTCTCCCTCCTCCTCGTCCTCTTCTTCTTGCTCCCTCTGAAGTGTCTCCAACCAAACATCCATACTCTTCAGCTGCTCTTCCCACTTCTGAAGCTGTAACAAGTGTGCATCTTCCATAGCACCTTTCTCTCCCCCCCCCTTTTCCCTGCTACTAGCAGCGTCAGAATCAAGGCTCTTCAGCTCTGCTCCGCGAATCCCTATAGGCGCTCCTCTCTTCGGCTTACGCCCCTCGCCTTCCATGCTGCTGCGTTCGATATGGTCCAATTTGTAGGTGAAAGCAGCAGGCGCAGCAGCAGGCGCAGCAGCAGGATGATAAGGAGGGGGAGATTTCAAAAGGCGAGAAACTGCAGTTGCAGATGCAGGAGCAGGAGCAGGAGCAGGAGCATTCCGGAATGGCTGGACCTTCTTCTCGCCCTTGTCCCTTCGATTTCGAGATTTTACCAGCGAATCCACGATAATAGTTGTACCCGCTGTAAGCTTGCTTTGCTCAACGTTCAAGTCAGGAGAAAGGCACGCTTGCGGCCCAACACCCACAGCCGTGAACCCAATATCGAATTCTTGCTCCACCGATTTCAACCTGTCTCGACCTCTCCGCTGCCGACGTGTCTCGCGTGGCCGGCAGCAGAAGGGCAGATGGGACTCAATCAGTCGGCAGAAAACCGATGATAGAAGTTCGTGAGGAGCAACAGCAAGAGAGAAGTCCGCGTGTACTGCAGTCGGCTTAAATCCGGATCTGTTGTTACCGGAAGGAGGGTCCGAGTCTTCATCTGTGACGCATCCTGCGGACTCGCCAGTTCTATTCGGGCGGCTGTTACGTCCACGAATTTTCAGACACGCTGGGATTCTGAATTTTAGCTCGAAATCCATGTCGGATGCTGCAATATTCTGATCGAGTTCACTAATCATCAGTCGAAGCCACCCACTGACTTTGATTCAGATCCGTCCGACACAAATCAGGGTGATGGCGCTTTCCAATCGAAAACCAGTCGCAACTCATTTCGAGTGTAAACCCAAACGCATTTTAAGTGGAACGGAAAGGCTAGTAACAGCTCTATCTCAGTCAATGGCTCAAGTCCAACGAGATTGTGTGATCGCCGAGTAAGCTAAGGCTGTGAGACCAATGGGATGGGATATTCCCATCAGGCAACGCTTTCCCAACCACGCTTGCCGATTCATGCGACGCCTCTCCATTGCCCGAACCGAGCGAAACGTTTTCCATTGTGCCCATCGTTCTGGAGAAGCATCAAACCGTCCCATCATGGTCAGTCGTATGGGATAGGTAAGTGCTAGACGACTCGTTCTTATCACGGCTGTCATCCCAGGGCCGTCGATGCGTCGTCTAGGGTGATTGGTTGTTGCCATGGAACTGGAGAGCAAGTCAAATCAGCTGAATTTCACTGGAAAAGCGCGATCGGACCGTCCGTTTTCGCACAGGCCTAATCGGGTGTTGCGTAATGCTCGACGAGGTGTCTGCTGATGTGACTGGAGACGACCTAGATTCTTGTTCTTGGCCCAACTTCGATGTTGCCATTGCCGAGACCTAAATGCCTTGGGTGTGTCGTGTCGAGCAAGTCCCTCTTCACGGATACAAATCAAAGTCCCGCCAGATCAGATCAGGAGTACCGCTTCGTCAGTGCGTCCGCGATTGAAGATGCTTGTTATGCTATTTAGCGGTTGCGTTTTGGTGCTGGCTGAAAGTGAACGTCTTTACAAACTAGTCAGTCTAGCGTGTACATGATGCAATGCAACCCTTCAAGCAGATGGTTTATGCTACTGGTATAAAAAATGCGGATTAAATTCCTTTAATCAGGATGTTTCATTGCGCCGCTCCCAAAATGCTACTGGTATCCCTCCTGGTATCCTTTTCAAGCTGGTTGTTTGTCGCATGGCTTGGCACCCCACTCAGCCTCCCTGTCTCACAAGGCATAGAAAACCACTGGCTCTATTATAAATTAATACCAGTGCAACACGTGTTGTACCCTCAACAGTGGTGCACGTTCTACTCCTATCCTACGGCCGTGTTCTTCTACTCCTATCTCATGACATGCTAGTTGAGGAGCCACTAGCAGCCTCTCGCATCACAAGGGCCATTTCAGCACTTAAGTCAGAGGTGCCATCAGAACCTCCAATTTCCGTATCAATGCCAGAAACCTCCGCGCTCATCTGCGCCCCCAACATCTCCTGCTTTAACTTAACCAGCTCCGCCAGCACTAGCAGCATGGAGGGACGGGAAACCCCAGGCAGAGCAGTGCAGGAGAGGGCAAGGCGAGCCAAGCGCAGCACCACATCATCCGGTGCTTCCAAGCGAGGGTCCTTGAATTCTGCCACTGCTCCTGAGTCCACCAGAGGGGCTACCTGCGAGGATGAAATAATTTGGCATACGAACAAGGCTTTCTAAAAGCAGGAGTGTTGCATGAAGCGCAAATCTGTCAATACACTAGAATAAGAGTATAGGTGGCAGAAAAACGGTGTATTAACGAGGAGGCTGTAGACGCATGGGATGGTGTGAGTAGTTTGAAATAAGGGTGTGCGGTTTGAAAGAGCCTATGCTAGGGAGAGGAGCAACAAGGTAGACAGCAGTAGGATAGGATAGCTGATTGTGTGACAGGTGCAGGGTGAAACAAGATATCGTCGTAATACTCACCTTGCTCAATACGGCATGTGTCCTGTGGAGAAAGGAAGAGAGGATGACAAGGTGGTAGGCAAGTAAACCTATTCATTGTGTGTAGTTGCGGAAGTGCACTTGGACTTAGGAAAATGGTGTTAGTGCCCCATTTGGACGTTTTCTAGGCTTTGTATACCGTTGCGAGGTATGCCTCACCCATTTCTTGATGTTGACGTGGTCGTCCTCTATTACGAGCACAGCCTTGCGCCCCGTAAGAACCACCAGCATCACCAAGCCAAAACTGCAATCAAGGCAACCAGAACGGACATCATCTGTGCGATGACGCTCACATGTGACACCTCCACAGAAAAAATCATCATCATCACAACCACTTATATCCCAAACCCACATCATTAAGTGGCCGAGAATTTCAGAGCCTTTGATTGGTCAGGCAAGGCAAGGCATGCGTCAAATGCCAGCCGTGAAGAGCCACTATGAAACGAGGCAAAAAGAACACGATGAAGGAAAAAAAAAAAAAAAAAAAAAAAAAAACCAGAGAGTTCTCACAACCATAAAATGCCTGCTGGATGGTTATTTCGTCCCAATCTGCTCACCAGTACCAATCTACTGACTTGCACCAATGTGCTTACCTGTGCTGTGCCAATCTACTCACCTGTACACATCGACAGCAGGAGAAGGTATGTGAGAGCTAAAGTATTCAGGGTCCATATAGCCCAGTGTTCCCACCAGTCGAGTGACAGCCTCAAATGTGGCCACAGATGTCCCTCCAAGCAGCTTCACGAGCCCAAAGTCTGCAACCTTTGCCTGCTCATCATGCAACATGAATCTAGTTTTGAGGCGCCTTGAAATGAAACCACACAGCTTCAAGAGACCGACGTCGGCAATCTTTGCCTGCCCAACATCAACCACAACAGCATCATAATGCAACAGGAGATTAGGTGACGTGACTCTATGCTGGGCTGTTCAAAACATCACATGACGGATGTACAAAGCACCTTCTTAGTGATGAGGGTGACTGTTACCGGTGTTTTCCGCCCGACCCGGGCATTGAGACTGCTGCTCTAGGTACTGGTGAGGCTGCTGCTCTAGGTGCTAGCGAGGCTGCTGCTCTAGGTGCTAGTGCGTCTGCTCCCTCAGGTGCTGGTGAGTCTGCTCTCTCAGGTACTGCGTCGGCTTCGGCCTCCCACACCTTCACCCTTGACTCGGGGGCTTCTCGCTCCTTCTTTCGAGACCGCACCACACT